TGATTGGAATGTTTTCTTTCCTGCTTCTGCTTCCTCAGTAGATAATAACTATTATTGGCAAATTTCTGAGGGCTTACTCTTGTCAGATAATAATCTAGGCACTACATATTAATTAGTTAATCTTAACAACCACAAGAAGTAAGCTTTACAACCACACTCTACAGATGAAGAAACCAACGTTCAGAGAGGGTATGTTATTTGCCCAAAGTCACACAATTAGTTGGCTCCAAAATCACTGCAAATCTTGACTGCAGTCATGAAATTATAAGACACTTCCTCCTTGGAAGAAAAGTTATGACCAACCTAGATAGCATTTTTTTTTTTTTTAGATAGCATATTAAAAAGCAGAGACATTACTTTGCCAACAAAGGTCCGTCTAGTCAAAGCTATGATTTTTCCAGTAGTCAACGTATGGATGTGATAGTTGAACTATAAAGGAAGCCGAGCACTGAAGAATAGAGGCTTTTGAACTGTGGTGTTGGAGAAGACTCTTGAAGGTCGCTTGGACTGCAAGGAGATCCAACCAGTCCATCCTAAAGGAAATCAGTCCTGAATATTCATTGGAAGGACTGATGCTGAAGCTGAAAACTCCAGTACTTTGGCCACCTGATGTGAAGAACTGACTCATTGGAAAAGACCTTGATGCTGGGAAATATTGAAGGCAGGAGAAGGGGACAACAGAGGATGAGATGGCTGGATGGCATCACTGACTCAATGGTCTTGAGTTTGAGTAAACTCCGGGAGTTGGTGATTGGCAGGGAGGCCTGGTGTGCTGCAGTCCATGGGGTCACAAAGAGTTGAATACAGCTGAGCAAATGAACTGAACTGAACACAGTTAGTAATTGATAGAGCCAGGATGTCAATCAAGGTCTTCCTGACTTCACTGTGTACTCTCTTAACCACTGTATAGACTGGCTTGAGTCAGAACCATCTCTTCCCAAGATGTATATTCTTCCCAAGAATTCAAAGAAAGATTTGCTCTGGAAATCCAATACCTTTTTATTTTTTATTTTTTGGTCACACTGCATGGCACATGGGATCACCACCAGGGATCGAATTCATGCCTGCTGCACTGGTAGAATGGAGTCTTAACCGCTAGACCGCCAGAGAAGTCCTCCAATACCTTTTTTACATACAGCGGTAAGCTGTGGGGTGGGGGATAAAGCAAGGGATAGTGAGAATCCCTGATTATGAGTTCTTCAGCTTGAGTCACTGTGTGAGTCCAGGTAAAGTCTCTTTTTCTTTGCCAAGTATTCCCATCCATAATGTTGAGATTAAAATTTTGCCACAAAATGGAAAAAGAGAAAGAAGAAGAAATTATCAAGGTAAAGGTGAGGGGCAAATATTTGAGTCTCACAGAATGAGGACATTCTTTGTATAAATATAAATTTGAAATGTCATTAATGCTATGGTGATAATTACTACTCTGCCATGAATTAAGTACAGACCAGGGAATCGGTTTCCTAGGTTCATCTGCCTAAATGAAGAGAGTTGGAAAGTATCTGTATATGCCTCTGGCTTTCTGTGCCTGAACTGAGCCACCCACCTCTTTCTCGATGGCTTTCTCAATAGAATGATGCTTCTGAGTCTGCCCTGAGAGAACCACCTATGCACACAGTTCTCTCTCTGCACTCAGCCTTCACCCCCAGTGGGGTGACTCTGGAACAGATCAGCCCTTGAAGCAGTGCTTACTTGCAGAGCTCTGTGGAAGAGGCAACCCTAGTACACGTGAAGCAAGAGGCGGGAGAACATGGTGATGTGATTCAGCCTTCCTCAGGACTAACCCCTTTTCTACTGCGACACTCAGAGCCGTGGATCCCTTCAGCGTGGGCTTCTCAGTATTCTCCCTGCTTCATCTGACCAGGAATGGCAAGTCTAACCTTGTCTTCCTTTGATTGACTGGATAAGTGAACTGTATGTGGGTGTCCGAATTCAGTGCGTTTGTGCTGAGCGTGTCACCGTGCTTCCCAGGGGTTGCCTCCAATCCCGTCTCATCTCAGTGGTTGCCCCTGGTGCTCCCGGGTCACTAGCTTCTTGCGGTGGGTGTGGGACAGGGCAAGGAGACCAGAGGGAGCAACAGAGGGGAGAAGGGGCGTGGAAACAGCTCAGCACCACAGGACTAGCTTTGCTAGCTTCCAGGAATCCCGCAAAGGAGGGATCTGTTTAACTGGCAAAACCCACAACCAAAAGGGACAGAACTGTTTAGCGATGAGCAACTGTAGTTGTCATCTGCATTTTCTGGACAGAGGCAGCCTCCAGAGGCTACCTGAGCAGACTCTTCCTGAGCAGATGTCTCCTTGTTGACCTGGAAATGATATTTCCAGATAAACTTATCAAATTAATGACTTTTAATATCAGTGTACATTAAAATCATCAAAGGGCATGGTAAAAATGTACCCCATTCTCAAGGATTCTCATTCAGTATATCCTGGGTGTAGGCCAGGAATCTGCATTTTTAACAAGCATTTTAGGTGATATAGTCAGTAGACCACATTCCCCAAAAGACTGTCTTATATTTAGTTCCAGTTTCCATTCAGCCCAATTTTTGAGATAGGCTCTTTCTGCTGCAGTCTATGTATTTTAATCACTTTCTTTATTGAAGGATTTACTAGCATCTCCATGTTTACTGTCTGCTTCATTCTCACATAATCACAGTAACTGGAAAGGGAGTCAGAGATGGTTAGCTCCATTTTATTGAGGGTGAGGGGGTGGAGGTGGACCTGAGGCACAGGGAGAGGTAAGTCGTGATGAGTCAGCCACAGAGGTGGGAACTGAAGTCCAGAATTGATGACTCTCAAACCAGGCAATCTTCTGGGGCCTATTTTCTCAGCTTGTGATTTCATATTTAATCATAGTTATTTCATAGGTGTCCAGTTCATTGTGCTTGGGTAAGCAAAGTGTATTTGAGTTTTAACAAAATAGCTTAGCATCCATCAGTGTACTAGTTTTTATATTTAGCGTATTGAAGCTTGTCTAAGCTTGAGTTAATATTTGCCCTGAGAGATGATGTGGAACTGACTTAATGTGCTTCTTTCTGGGCTTGCTTCCTTTATCATTTCTGACTTTTTTTTTTTTGGCCTGCTTCATCATACAGGATCTCAGTTCCCTGACCAGAGTCTTAACCACTGGACTGCCAGGGAAGTCCGATGAAGACTTTCAAGAGAATAGATTCCTCTTCCTCCTGTCAATAGGAACCCCGCTCTGGTCTTCTGGTTAGAGGACTAAATCAAAAAAACCTCTTAATTTTCTTTCTCTCCAACTTGTGTAGTACTTGGAAAATCTTGAAAACTCTCAGTTTACAGTGTTACTTAAATGTACAAATATAAAGTAAGCATATAATGATCTTTTATTTATAGTTCTTATATAACTAAAAAAATATAAATTTACAAGTTAAATACAAATGATATCACAAAACTAATACCATTCAAATTAATATTATAGCAATTTAACATGGCAGATGATGTATTTTGCTGAGACTAAATTATCCCGTATATTGTGATTATGGTATTCCTGTGAAAGCTCAGATTCTTTTGAGTTCAACATACCTATACCACCAAGTGACCTATATTATCTCAATTTTCTCACCACTTTTCTGTTAGAACTACTGTGACAACGCAGTCTATGACGTGGTTTGGCTTTCATTTTGTGCATGAAAACACATTTTCATTTTAAATCCACCTCTGTTCTTTTCTCATGATCCCAGAATAGTAAAAGCACCACTAGGACACACATGCAAATGCAGGTATTGAAATCACAAGGCAATACCAGGTTATAAAATGGTCATTCAAATAATCCAGAATGCCTAAATTAAGAATTACTGTTCAGATTCACTGGTTCCCAAACTTACACTACGATCAAAAGCCTTATCTATTGTGTTTACTTCCAAGAACCGCATTTTTTTTGAAGTCCCCTAAATTAGATTTATTGATAATTTTCCTTTTTTATTCATCAGACACATAGAATTACCATTTCAGAGCTTGTGATCACCACAGGTAGCTATCACTCTAAGCTGCTTATAGTCCAAAACAAACAAAAAAGACAGGACATTCTAGTTATTCCGTGCTGCCTGCACAAGGGTAAATGGAAACTTCCTACTAAACTTTGCAAGAACTCTCATACCCTCGGACCTCCTCCCACCGCTGCCTTTGAGGACTCTTGGGAGTTCTAGAGAGGTCAGGTTAGCCTTTCTTGTACAAGCAAAGTAGCCGCTTCACCCAAATTTGGAAGAATTAAAGCTTGTCCTAGTTGTGCTTGATTGTTGTACTTCTAGCATGCTAAAGACCTAAAAAATAAGAGAAAGAAAATACAACAGAAGGCAGCATTCCAGTACCAAACTGAAAAGAAACACAAAAACAAGAGCGCAGCATGTTTTTAACAGCTTGCATGGAGAAAGCGGAAAAAAATATTGACTGGGGAGTTTGGATAGCACTGTTCATTTTCTCTCACCGCCCGCGGTATTTGTCTTAAGGAGCAGGAGCCAGATACAATTCTGGCGCACAGGCCGGAGGAAGGGGTGGAGGGGTTCTGCGGAAGCTTGTAGAAGCCTGAGGATATAGCGGGGGAAATTAGGGCTGGAGACCCAAATGGCTCCGGGCCAGGATGAAGTCGGGGGAGGGAGGCGCTAAGTCTTTTTTCCTCCTGGCCTGGGGCATCCTCTTGGTCCCCTGAGTCCCAGGAGGGCACAGCACAAGTCACTCAGGTAGGTTCCGGACGCCTTCAGATCAGCACGAGCAGGATGAATCCCTGCCCCTGTTTCTTTCGCCTGGGAAAAGGACACGGGGGCTCCTTTCGCCTTCTAAGCCCACCTGTCTTTTGGAGTTCAGACCTACAGCTCCGGAAACGGGGACCTGGCGGGGGTCTCCACCCGCTCAGCAGACACTCGGTTCCCGGACTCCGGCTCCTGCCGACCTCCGGCCTAAGCCCCGCCTCTCAGGGCGCGGGGCGGGGCCAGGGCGCGGGGCGGGGCCTGGGCGCGCAGCGGGCGGCTGAGACCCGGCCGAGGAGGAAGAACATGGCGGGCGCGGCGGGGCCTGCTGCCGGCTCAGGGGCCGCCGGCGGAGATGGAGACGATTCGCTCTACCCCATCGCGGTCTTAATCGACGAGCTCCGCAATGAGGACGTGCAGGTATTGGAGTCTGGCCCGGCAGTGGACGCGGGCTCGGCCGGGCGCGTGGTAGGGAAGGGGGCCAGCCGGCACCCATGGTGGGGGGAGGCCCGGGATTGAAAGCCGGGACTCTGAGCGGAAACTTGACGGGGAGGAGGGGAGAGACCCGTGAGGGGTTCTGGTGGCTCGACCCGGCGGCCCCGGAGCCTGCCCCTCACGCCTTGTTCTGACCCGCCGAGGCAGCGGCCCGGCGTCCCACCTGGTTCTGGTTGCTTGTGGGGGAACCGGCTTGCCGCCCGGGCGGCCTTTCTGGGCCGGGCTGAGGACGCCGCGTCCAGCCCGGGGCCGGCGGCGCCCGTAGCGGGGCAAGCGGGAGGCGGGCGGCGCGGGGCCCGAGGGGCTGCAGGTCGCCGAGGCACCTTGTGAAATGCAGGGGAATGACTGCCTTCCTCGCGCCCTGCTGGAAACTGGCTCGGCTTGAGTGGAAATTAGGTGGGGTGGCTAAACTAACTTAAAGGAGGCGGGATGTCAGCTCTGATGGAACTTTTCATTGAAAAGCCTGGCGTGGTACTCAACCATCTCACCTGCTTCACCACTGCTAAAGTAATCTCTTTTTAAAATTGTCTCGCTTTTCCGGATATTGTATTTTCTTTCATTTCTTTAATGGGCCCGTCAGAGGGTTTCACCTGAGAAATCTTCCTTTAGCTGAAGAAGGCGTGTTCCCTTGTTTTTGAGGTTCCTCATAGAATAAAGTGTAAGTTAAAGGTTTTTTTTCCTTCTTATCTGTATGCAGTTACCTCACCTGTTTGTAGCTACTCTCTTTTGGTCTAAATCACAACTGCTGCTTTACTTCATTCTTCTTTCTACTTTTTTTTTTTTTAAAGCTCCGTCTCAATAGCATTAAGAAATTATCGACAATTGCTCTAGCACTTGGAGTAGAAAGGACACGAACTGAACTGCTGCCATTCCTTACAGGTATGTGACTCTTTGAGGAAAGGCCTGGGCATTTCTGTTTTCCAGTGGCTTTCAAAAGTTGGACTGTTGTTTTGAATTTGTTGCCCATAGTATTAGTAAGTACTAAACTGAGCCTGTTGTTTCTACTGTGAAGAAACAGGGCAGAGCATATATTGTAATGTTGTGGCCGGACATATTCAGATACTAACTATTTAGCTAATAGAAAAGTAACTGATGTGCGATTATGAATTTCTAGTTCCCTCTGTAAAACAAATCCATGAAGACACTTGATTGAGAAGGAGGAAAAGGCTGTTAGGATGGCGACAGATTGTCTAGTTACATATGGAGTCTCTTCCTAGTTTTGTGTGAGTGTCCAGCTTTGGGCCAGCTATCTTTGTTGATGAGTACTGGGTTCTTGTCATTTCCAGATACAATTTATGATGAAGATGAGGTACTGTTAGCTCTTGCTGAGCAGCTGGGAAATTTCACTGGCCTGGTGGGAGGTCCTGACTTTGCCCACTGTTTGTTGGTGAGTATATTCTGCCTGCTCTCCTTCTAGAACTTTTGCAGTATAAATAGTACATTGTTTGGTGATAGGCACAGTGCAGCATTTTTTATGCAGATCTTTTTATGGATAGTCACAGTGTTAGCTTTTGAGAGAACATATAATGTAGGCATTTTGGACTCAACCTTTCTTATTTTTTCTGGTTGTGAAGGTGGGAACTTTCTCTTTTCTGACTTGTTACTTTAGCAGTTAGGAGAAAAAGGACTGGATTGTTTTTGTTCATGATTTTTTCCCTCTTATAGTGGAAATCTTAATTCTCATCTAACAATACAGTGGCTTTGGAAATGTTTATTAGTTTTGTCTTTAACTGTAAGTGTAACTGTTGATTCTGACTTCCTTTGTGAATTTCATGAATTCAGTTTAATTCAGTTGACATTTATTGAGAGCCTTCTGTATCAGGCACTGAAGTTACAATGTTCATGTTAAAGATGAGCATTGTGAGTGTAATAAGGCCTCTGTCCTTTTGTGTCAACAAGTAATTACTATGTGGTGTTAGATGGAAAAATCTGAAGCACATAAAAGAGAAAGGGATTAACCCAGGGTGATCAGGGAAGATCTCTTTGGGAGAGAATGTCTGAACTAGGGTGTGAAAGATGACTAGGAATTTGACAGCTGCCCAGGATGATGGGGTTGTATGCTTCAAGGCTTCAATATTGGCTGTATTATATTGCTGACTCTCATGACTTCTATCTTTACCTCTGACCTTTCCATGGAGTTCCAGATACAGATATATGTAGAAAGATATAAATATCTGTGTTAGTCTCTATATGTCTGCTATGATTTTTCTACTTGGGTGTCAAACAGGCATTTGAAATTTAGTACGTCTAAAACAGGACTCAGTTTTTTCCCCAAAATGTATCCTAATTAGTTGTCCCATTGCAGTAAATGGCATCACCATCTACCCAGTTAGTTGCACAGCCAAAACCTGGAAGACATTCTTGAATCCGTTTCCCCTCACTTCCCACATCTATTCCAAATCAGTTCTCTTTCTTCCATCTCTACTACCACCTAGCTCATCTTTCCACTGGTCTTTCTAGACCACATGGTCTTTCCTTTAGATTATTGTAGTAATCTAGTTGCTTTCCACTCATGCCTTCTGCCCCACCACTCCAGTTCACTCTTCACCCAGAGATGGATCACTCACTCCCTGCCATGGTTCTTAGAAAATTCATAATTTCTACCTTAGTTTGTACCTTAGTTTATAAAATTTGCCCCATGAGCTTATCTCACATCATGTTCCCTCTTAATAACCTCATTCCATTCACAATAGTCTTCCTTCTGTTCTTTGAATACACCAAGCTTATTGCCCTGGATAGTCCTTTTAATAACATGTGTTTTTGAGCTTCCTATGACTGACTCCTTATCATTTAGATGCCAGCTTTAATGCATCTCAGCAATGCCTTCCCTGACATCTCAACCTGAAATTTCTTTCCCAATCACCCCTTACCACATCATCTTTGTTTTTACCCCCTCTTTGGCTGTACCACACAGCTTGTGGAATCTTAGTTCCCCAACCAGGGATTGAACCCGGGTCCTCAGCAATGAAAGCACAGAGTCCTAACCATTAGGCCGCCAGGGAATTCCCTCTGTTCTCTTTACAGAGCATTCAACACCATCTAGTTATTTTCTTGATTAGTTGTTATCTTCCTCCATTAGAATATAAAACTGTATTCAATGTCCTGTGATAAAACGATGATGGGAAAGAATGTATATGTATAACTGAATCAATTTCCTGTACAGCAGAAATTAACATAACATTGTAAGAGCACTGTACTTGAATAAAGTAAATCTTTAAAAAATTAAGAAGAAAAGTCAAACGACACCCCCCCCCAAAAGTAAACTAGCACAAAGAAATCATGGCCTTATTTCTTCCCTCTCCTCAGTGCTAGAATATAAAAGTAATTATCATTTTAAAAGAAAGAGTTTAGGAGCCTTGGAAGCGTGAAACTGGTTGATTGCAAGAGTATAAACTGTTGGTGCTAGAGTAGGCGGAATTGGTGGTCCCAGGGCTGTAGGAAAAGGTCATGGAGAAATAGGCCAAGTTTCAATCGAGACAGGAGTTTGTTCTTCTGTAGTAGCGATAGAGATTATCAGTGATACTGCATGAGAGGAGGTCAGAGAAGGCAGTGGACAGATCATGTAAGGGCTTTGCTTTTAAGAAAGCAATATCTTTTCAGAGGGCTTCTGAAATTTCCCTTAGGAAAGCTGAGTACCTTGTATCAAATAATTTTTGAAATGTATTATGTAGACACCCTTGTTTCCTTTAACTCATGATTCTGTTTCACTCTCCTGGTCAGTTCTACACGTGGGTTTTGTCTTTAACGTCGGCACTTCATGGTGTATCCTGAATCTGTCGGGACCAAGTGCAAACCCGGAAGAGCAGCAGTTCAGAGAAGCAGCCCTCTGTACTTCTCCCTGGGCTGTGCCGTGTTCACTCACTATCCTCGTCAGGGCCTAGGCCAGGGCTTTGGTCTCTACTGTTTCTAAAGCTGCAGGCAAGGTTTCCTGTTTTCTCTGTACCTTTCATTTAATTGTTCTTTCATAAACTCCCACTCTATGTCTAGCTCATGAAAAAATTCTGGATGTATTCTGAGAAAAGTAATTTTGCACTCAGCCTCTAATAGTTTGGAAAAGTCAGTGGCGTGGAGTGAATTGGCAGAGGTAACTTCCACCTCCAGGAATGGTAGAATGATACTCCAGACGCCATGGACTCAGTGTTCTGATGCAGTGTCCTCATGTAATTGTGGTGCCTGGTGGTGGTCATGTTTTTGCACTTACTCTTGAGGAAACATACATGATTCTGTCGAATTTGGCTACATAGCTTTTAAATCTAGTGATTCAGCTCACAATAATATTAATATTGTGTCAAGTCTCTTCCACCATGTCATTCGTAGACACCATCTGGGAATTGCCATCTGGGACATGAAATCTTGGCTGTCCTACAGAAGTCGTGTCTTCAGGTTGGACACACCATATGTTATCACCGTGTGAACTGAAAGTAACCATTTGGTGTGATGTAGCTAACATTCTGGTTACTTGTCCCACCTCCCATCAGTCACTTTAAAAGGTGGTAATCTGTATCTAACCTGACTGAGTAAGTTTTCTCTCTGGTTTTCCATTTTGGTCTATCCAGCCTCCTCTGGAAAGCCTGGCAACTGTGGAAGAGACTGTGGTTCGAGATAAGGCTGTGGAGTCCCTGAGGCAGATTTCGCAGGAGCACACGCCAGTGGCTCTGGAGGCTCACTTCGTACCTCTGGTGAAGCGCTTAGCGAGTGGGGATTGGTTCACCTCTCGCACATCTGCATGTGGTTTGTTCAGCGTTTGCTATCCTAGGGCTTCCATTGCTGTCAAAGGAGAAATTAAACAGTAAGATATGGTATTTTGGGGGGTTATTGGGAGCCCACAGCTGACAGGTTACACAGTACCCTGTTACCAATGAGTGGCTGGTATCAGGGTAGTCAGATTGATGACAACTGTTACGAATGTCCAGTGAACATACCAGTGGGTTTTCCTTTGTTACTGCTATGAGTAGAAGTCTAATGCCTGATGTTTGTAGGAGAAAACGTCTGAAATTTCTTTGTGTGTTGGGGGGATGCTTAATCAGTGGCATGTAACAGGAAATAACCTTCATTATTTTATTTGCTGCAGGTACTTCCGTTCCTTGTGCTCAGATGACACACCAATGGTCCGACGTGCTGCTGCTTCCAAACTGGGTGAATTTGCAAAAGTTTTGGAATTAGACAGTGTGAAAAGTGAAATCGTTCCTTTGTTCACTAATCTAGCTTCAGATGAACAGGTAATTAAAGTACACAAATATGCTCTTACATTTGAAGAATTTCTTTGGGTGTTTTGGTACTCGTGTTAGGATCATTTTTTTCAGAATTATTACTTAATTCTGGCCTGGCTAAAGTTTAAGATTACCCATCCCAGTGTCCTTATAATTCTTTCTTAGCCAAATCATGATTTTCTTTTCCATTTAGCAGCTGTTGAAGGGGAGTCAAGGAATTGGGAGCCATAAGTAGGAAGGAAGGCCAAAGCCACATTAAAGAGTAACTATACCTTTGGGTACTGCAGGCTGAATTATTGTGGGACAGTAATGTTTCCTGGAATTTTTGGCGTTCAGATAAACAAGCATAGCATGTATTGGGAAAGCTCTTTGACCCCTCTGCATCCTCTGTATGAGTGTATAGGATAACTTTGCATGAGGGCAGTTATAAATCCAAGGATCTCCATCTCATCAGTGTAGAAATTAGCAATAATAATGGGTTTCCCTGGTGACTCAGTGGTAAAGAATCCATCTGCCAATGCAGGAGGTGGGGGTTCATTCCTTGGTTTGGGAAGATCCTCTGGAGGGGGAAATGGCAACCCACTCCAGTGTTCATTCTTGCCTGGGAAATCTCATGGAAGAAGAGACTGGCAGGCTACAGTCCATGGGGTCGCAAAAGAGTCAGACACGACTTAACAACTAAATAACGACAAAAAGCAATAATAATACACTAGTAAGCACCCAAATGAATATTTTTCAGCCTGTTTTAAGTGGTTTACATATGTGAATTAATTCAGCCCTTACAGCAGCCCCATGAGGTCATTACTTCCATTTTATATGTTTGGAAACAGGCACAGGAATCGGAGTAAATTGCTCGTGGTTGCATAGTGGGTTGTGTTGGAGTGCGGACTTCAGTCTGCGCAGCTTAGCTCCAAAGTTGCGACCTTCACCGCTAAGCCGTAGTGCTCTTCTTTGTGGTGCTTTGGAGAATCAGCCCCCAGGGTTCCTGGGCTCTAGAAGATCAATTTACTAGTTCCTGCCCACAGATCCCTGTATGTGTACGGGATCAAGAGCAGCAGATACATACCTTGAGTCTCGTTTTCAGATTCTAGATCTGAAGATGATAAATCTTTCAAAATAATTTTTTAAATTTATTAATGTATACAAAGCAGTACAAAGTGAATATGCATCTTAAGTATTACAAGGCATGCTATCCCATAACTTTCATCTATGAAAGGAGACAGAGTTTTGATAGCCATTATCCAGGAAGCCCAGCATGATCTGCCTCCCAAACAAACACCCCTCCCAGTTCCTACCCCCTACCCCCTTAAGACTGTAACACTTGATTGTATCTTGATTTTTGTGGTAACCACCTCCTTACTTTTCTTTGCATTTTTACTATTCATAAAGTATGGTTTAAAACAACACTGTCTAACAGAAATACAATGTAAGCTACCTGTTAATTTTAAGTTTCACAGTAGCCATAGTTTAAAAAGTGAAAAGCAGGTGAAATTGATTTTAATAGTGTATTTTATTAACCCAGTATATCCAGGGTAACTACCATTAGAATGTGTGGTACTAGTTACATTTCAGATACTAAGAAGTAGGTAGTAGGTAGGATAAGGTTGTCACATTGGAGAGCACAGGTTTAGAATCCTCATTTGAGATTTTTTTGATTACATTTCCCATGGATAACTCAATGTCTTCTTTTGTCCTGCAAAATTGGTAGTTGAATCTAGAGTGGAGATTTGTGAATTTTTTCTGTGAAGGGCCAGATATTAAATATTTTAGGCTTTGTGGACCAGACAGTCTCTGTTATAACTACAAAGCTCTGCTGTTGTATATCACACACTGTAATATGTAAACTAATGGGCATGGTGCTGTTCCAGGAAAATTTTATTTACAGAAACTAGCTGCTTTCCATATTTGGCCAGTGTTTGCCTCCACCCTGATCTAGAGGCTTAGTGAGAGCTTGTTTGATATTTTGGGGGCAGTAGGATCACTTTGTTAGATGGAGGCTGCTTTTCATCAAGAGGCATGTCTGGTTGTGGTATTAACAGCAATGGATGATGAAAGAATTATTTGTTTATGTGAAAAATATATGTGTGTATGTTCACTGTGACCACTGATAGAATTGCTGCTCCTGCCTTAGTCATTCACTGAGAAAGTATTTATTGAGAACCTTCTATGAATCAGGCACTGTTCTTCATGCTGGCTTTCAGTATTAAATAAGGGACCATGCTGTCATGCAGTTTATATTTTAATGAAAGAAAGCATAATAAACATAAAATATTAGGGATCAAAATGACGATGGAGGGACTTCCCTGGTGGTTGGGAATCTGCCTTGTAATGCAGGGGACATAGATTTGATCCTTGGTCAAGGAACTAAGATCCAACATGCTTGGAGCTGTGGAGCAGCTAAGCCTTCATGCCACAACTGCTAAGCCCTTGTGCTACAACCAGAGAGTTGGTGCCCTGTATCAAAAGATCCTACATGCTGCAACTAAGACCCCAGTGCAGCCAAATAAATGAAAAAACTGATGGCAATCGGGTAGGGTAACATAGTGGTAGGGAGTGATTATAGGCATTCTTTTATACTGGTTAGTCAGAGAAGGGCCATGAAGAGGTGGCATAAACAGACCTGAACAAAAAAATGCCAGACACGTGCTTTCCTAGTGTGTCAGAGCTCTAGGAGAAGAGAATTCCAAGAGGAGAGGACATTTAGTATATATAAAGATCCTGTGGTTGAAACATAGTGGGTGAAAAGGACTCTGATAGGAATTTGGATAAGATAATCAGGGCCCAGATTGTGGGGGACCTTTAAACAGGGTGTTGAGTTTGGGTTTTCTTTTCTAGGTGTTATGAGAACACACCAAGATTTTAATCAGGGATGTAATTTGATGTAATTTAAAATTTTAAAGGATTGTTCTGGTTTCTAGGTGGAAAACTAAATTGTAAGGTGGGGGGGTGAGAATAGAAACAAGAAGACAAGTTAGGAGACTTTTACAGTAATCCTGACAAGAGGCAGTGGTGAACTAGGGTGGTATGGTACAGATGAAAAGAATCTGGTGATCGGTTTGGGAGTAGTCAGTAGAACTGTGATTGAATTGGAACAAGGGAAGAGGCATCAAGATTTCTTGATTTTACTTGAGAAACTGGGTGGATACTGGTGTCACTGCTGAGATGAAGATTCTGGGAGGAGTAGCAGATACAGGGAAGAAAATCAGAAGTTCTGGGAGAAAAGTAGTTGATTAATTGAAAAAGTATTGATGGGTATGTATTTACATTAATGACAGTAGCTCCTTGATTCAGCATAGTTTTTGGAATCTGAATGTAGCTGTATGACCACTACCAAAAATATAGTTCTGCCTTTTTTAGCCTGTTCATTTAGATAGAGCAGTGAGTATCTTGGGCGTGTAGTAGGTTATTGTTGATCTATAATTTTTAAAATTTACAATATTTCAGAAAGTTGGAGGTACTGTTGCCTCTTGTATGCTTGCATGTGCATAGATACACACGTATAAGTATGTTACATACTCTTAAAATTTTTGGCGTTTCATCTGAGTGCTAAGATGTTTATGTATTTTCATTTCCTACTAATATATTTATGATTCCCCAATCTATAGTCTCAATTCCTAATTTTTCATTGATCTATCTATTTATATATTACTACTTTTACAAAGGATATATAGATACTAGGTTGATACTTGGCAGTTTACATTTGGGAAGTTGAGTTCATTAATCCCTTAACTTTCTGATTTTTTCTGCTGGGTTTTTTGGGTTTGGCTATCTCAAAAGTTATTCTGTCCTTGATCATCAGCATTTAAATTTAACGTTTTTTAAAAATTACTTAAAACTTTTGTTTTTCTGTGTATTTTTCCAAGTCATTACCTCATGCCTAAACTCTTTGACTATTACCATCCTCAACTGAGTGTTTTGAAAGCTGAGCTTCCTAAGTAACCCCCTTACCCCCTTTCTCTTCCTGTGTTCTGATCGTCCATAAACAACTGGTACACACATGCTTTTCATTTTTATTGCTCAGCTTCTTTGAGGATTTAGAGACATCATTAAAATGTTCTTTTTTTTCACATAATCTTTACATTTTTATTTCATTTTCCTTACTAAAAATTCTGTATTCTAACCAACGTCGTTAACTTTTCTGTTCACTCAGAGAACAGTCATTTCTGCCTTTATGGCTTTGACATGCCTGCGATTTCACGCAAAGGGAACAGCTATTTCAAGACATAGAGACACGAACTGCTTATAGTGTAGGTTCTTTTTAAGGACACCCAAGCACTACCCCAGCCACATGTTGCCTCATGGCTCTCAGTAAGTACTGTCTGACTAACAAAGGGATTTTGTTCGTCAGGACTCAGTGCGCCTGCTGGCCGTGGAGGCCTGTGTCAGTATTGCCCAGTTACTGTCTCAGGAGGACATTGAGGCTTTGGTGATGCCTACACTTCGACAAGCTGCAGAAGATAAATCTTGGCGAGTTCGCTATATGGTAGCTGACAAATTTTCAGAGGTAAAATTAGTGCACTGACATTTTTTAAGTACTAAAAGGAAAAAAAACCCAGAAATCCACAGATTTGCTGTCGTAACCAAAAGTTTCTGAGTTCGAAGTGCTTGAGGCAAAAATAGACAGATCTTCCTGGACTCATGATGGGGTTGTGTCCTGATAAACCCACTGTAGTTGAAAGTGCATTTAATGCACCTAACCTCTGAACAGCATGGCTTAGCCTCACCTACTGTAAACATTTAAAGAGCACTTACATTAGCCTGTAGTTGGGCAGAATACTCTAACAGAAAACCTATTTTGTAATAAAATGTGTAATAGCTCATGGAATTTATTCAATACTGGTACTAAAAGTGAAAAACAGAGGGGTTTTAAGTGTATCGGTTGTTCCCCTTTGTGTTACATGGCTGACTTCCTCTGCCCAGCGTCACGGGAGGATGGTACTACATAGCGCTAGCTCAGGAAAAGATCAAAATTCAAAACGTGAAATTTAGTTTGTATACAATGTGTATTGCTTTCACAACATCCTAAAGTTGAAAATCTTAAGTTGAATGATCATAAGTTGGGGACTGTCTGTACTTGACGATTGCACTGTGCTTATTAGTTATTTTGATTAGAATACATTAAAACCTGTGCAAATTCTTTTATAGCTCCAGAAAGCTGTGGGTCCCAAAATCACCCTAAATGACCTCATCCCCGCCTTTCAGAACCTACTCAAAGACTGTGAAGCTGAAGTCCGAGCAGCAGCTGCCCATAAAGTAAAAGGTTAAGGTGTCAGTTTATGTTGTAACTAGATCACTTTGGTGCATTTTTTTCTGTCAGTGAATTTTGTATTTTTTTTTTTGTCTTAGATTATGTTTTCAGATAAATAGAGATGATTTTAATGTGTTGAAATGTTAACATTGTCACATAAAGTTACTCCCTTATATATTTAAAACCAAATAGCTTCTGTTTAAAAAAAAAATGTATCCAATCCAGATTGGATTGGTGTTGTACACAGTGGTGTATAGACTGACCAAAAAGTGCATTTAAAAGTAGCCATTTTTCTTCCTTGGAACTTATTTGCTTAAACATATGATTTGATTTAGCTTGAAACTTGATAAATCTGGTTAAATTTCTTCATTTGGCTCCTTGTAAATGGCTCTACATAAGCATTTTTTTTTCTTTCTGTTTGTATATTTTAGAACTTTGTGAGAACTTGCCTATAGAAGGTAGAGAGACCATAATTATGAATCAAATTCTACCCTATATAAAGGTAAACCTAACTTTATTTTTTGTTTCACTCTGCCCTGTGTGAAGGTAAACCTGACCTCAGTTTTTGTTTGTATTACCTTAAAGCTCTTTAAGTTTAAACATGGACCAGGGATGAATGAGACAGTTATGTTAATGTGTGACACTGTTATTTATTACTTATTAATGTTTTATAGGTGAAAATGCTCTTTTTTTTGCATAGGTTTAATTTATCTGACATGGTCTGAGGAAACTTTATTGACTAATCAATATTGAAAGAGTGCTGTCTTTTAAAATTCCTTGGGAAATCATATGGAAATTTCTGTTGTCTTGCAAAAAAACTAAAGGCTATTAATTTTGACTTTATTCTAGGAATTAGTATCTGATACAAATCAACATGTCAAGTCAGCTCTAGCTTCTGTAATTATGGGGTTGGCTACCATTTTGGGCAAAGAGAATACCATTGAACATCTTCTGCCTCTCTTTTTAGCTCAGTTAAAGGATGAGGTGAGTCTGGCTATAAATTTTGTTGTCTTTTGATGGTCGGTGATTTGGTTTGGTTTTTGTTTGGGGTGTCACTGAAAAAGTAACTTATTTTAAACCATTGACAGTATTTGGGCACGGAATTATAAGTTCCTGAGAAAATGGGCCACTGATACAGATGTAAAAATGTCTGTCCATCTTCTCTGCCTAATTCCTGATTATATTCACTGTTTTTTTCTTCTCTTTAAACTTAATGGATCTTTACTGGAAAAGTTTCATTTAAGTTTAGATATAATATTATAAAAATTACCCTGTTTGCCAGGCATGATCATCAGTGCTTTGCATGTGTATTATTACGTGTAATTTTCACAGCAGTCTTATTTTTGAGGGTCGGTCTTAACTATTATTCCCATTTTACAGATGAAGAAGGTGAGGCACAGAGGTAAAATAACCTACCTGAAGTCTCAGATGTGGTCGATGTGGGATTTGAATACATGCAATTTGATTTCATAGCCTATGTGCTCTTTACGTTTCTATAGACTTTTCATTGAGAGTTTTGTTTAAGTCAATTAAATTATGCACTTTGAATTATTTGTGTACTCAGTATTAAATATTTCTTCCAAGACAATAGTTTTTTCACCCAAGTCAACACTTTCTCATTTTAAAATTTATTTGCTCATCATGGTGGTAGGAGAATATTGAGCAGAGAACTTGATCTTTATGTGTGCTCTTTTGGGTCTTGTGCATTTGCAGTGTCCTGAGGTTCGTTTGAATATCATCTCCAATTTGGATTGTGTAAATGAAGTGATTGGAATCCGGCAGCTCTCTCAGTCACTCCTTCCTGCCATAGTGGAGCTGGCTGAAGATGCTAAATGGAGGGTCCGGCTGGCCATCATCGAGTATATGCCACTGCTGGCCGGCCAGCTGGTGAGTGTGGGCACTCCTGTGAGCTGAGGGATAGCATCACATAGTGGAGCGGACTTGCCAGGGCCAGCAGGAGGCCCACATAGCTCATATGGTTGTGTTCAGTTAGATGCGTGAGAAAGTATGGTCTCTATCAGTTGCCTGTAGAATGGTTTTCATTTTCATCAGTGTATTAACATCTAACAAAAGGTATTTTAAAAACACATTTCACCTCCCCACCATCTGAAAGCAAAGCCATGGAAGAGTATATAATTTCTTGGTATATGTCACACAGATTTTGTGATACTTAATGTCTCTGTGACTTAAGGAATATTTATCTGAGAAGAAAGGGGAGTATAGTTTCAAGATTTGACTTTTGCTCAGGGAAGCTTCCCTCTCTGCCTGTATTCTGAGCAAATGTCTCTGGTTACCACTTTTCCTGCATTCTGGTTAAAGGGAGTTGAGGACTCCCCATATGTGAAAAAGGAGTGTTGAGGTTTGTAGTGCTAGTATTTTGGCCAGAGTTTGTATTATCACATTATCTGTTACTATCTGAGATTTATGGATAGTTTTATTGATAACAAGTTAATTAAAATTTTAGTGCTGGGTTTTATAGCCACATCCTTTCCTTTCTTTTATAGTAGGTACCTTGGTCAGTTCTGAATTTGATACGCCCTCATCATGGTGGTTGCACTTTACTATAGAGGAACTTAAAATCTAGATGAGATAGACAACTGATCTCTTTTGGGGCAGGGCTGTGTTCAGTGTTTCACTTCCAGTGCCTCCCGTAGTGCCTGGCATTAATCAGGCACTTAACATTTGTTGATTGTTGAGAAAAATGAATGTTGACTAGTTTTTGAGAAAGCTCATAATGTGTCAGTTTATGGCCAGTATTACTGCCATTTGTTTGTCGTCTTCCACTTTTGTTCCTTTCATATCATAGCATATGAGATTTATTTTTTCTCTTCTTGGACTGCTGACTTTGTATTGTTATTTTGGTGTACTTAGTTTACAAAATGTGTCTTGTGGATGTTTGTAGGATCATGTTTTATAAAACTTAAAGTGTCCCATTCTTCATAATAGATGCCAGAGATAGCAGTGTACAGGCTTCCCCCACACTCTGAAAGTAGAGCATCCCTAAGAGCGCTCTTGCAAGCTAATATGGTGTAGAGCAAAGAAGCAGTTACCTTAGGACACATCCTGCTAACAGATACATGAAATAGATCTAGAGGAAGCACAGATGCTCACAGACACAGTTTGGGGCAGTTGGCGGCCTGATGCTGAGATGAGATGTTAAATAGTTTTCAGGGAATAAGCTTGGCTGTGCCACGCTTGCTGCTGCCTGTCTCAGGTTCATTGGCTTGTTGCAGAATGAACACTGAACACGTTTTTCACCTTTTTTTGTTAAAAAAGAAATCCCATTTAGATTTCTTCCAGTTAGTGAACACATGTACTCTTTTACAGCTCTTTTGTAAAAGTGAAGTGATATAAAGTGAACCTTCAAAAAGTAGAGGATACCTAATGGGGTCAGATAAAGTCATCCTGTCAGTTTTTGCCCCCACTGTTGTTGTTGTTGTTCAGTGGCTGAGTCGTGTCCGACTCTTTGTGACCACATAAGCTGCAGCATGCCAGGCTCCTGTGTCCTCCACTGTCTCCCAGAGTTGTCCTGCCGTTCCCAAGTACTGAGTGTCATCTTCTCTTCTTAAGTGTTGACTGTCATGACTCAGAGTGGAAAGCAGCAGTGGTTAACTGGTTTGCTGAAGGTTAAAGTGACTGTCCAGCAGGGATGGTGGATTTCAGTGCCATTCTTTTAACTTCTGTCCCTCCCAGACCTGAGAAGCCTGCAAAGGCTGGTAGCTCTCCAGAGGATCTTGGAAACAGGCATGTGGTGACTCTGGCTGCTTCACGCTTGTCTAGCAGGGGTGGCATGCATCAGTCAGAAGCGTTCTGTTATACAACTTCAACATCTGTTAATATTATATATTTTATCCTAAAAAAAAAAATCCATAAAGACTTTTATTTCAGGTAGTCAATTTATAAAATTCCTTCAAGACTTTATGTATGGCCTGGTTTATGGACCATGGTGAGTAAATGTAAGGCTAAACCACAAGAATCAGAAAATAAAAGTTAATTAGAACTCAGAGAAACCCATGACCTGAAATGAAAAATAAATCTTTGAGAGCAGACATGGTAATCCAAGTGTGTGCTAAAGCCTGTTCATAACCTATTATTATGAAGCCATTTTATTATATTTTGAAAGCTCTTGTGTAGCATTTCTTTATTTAAAGTATATGGTCACTGGTCAGAAACTTCTTAGGTCCCAGAGAAGCTAAAGAGTGTGAACATGTAGGCATCAAGAGAGAGGTGCAGGGAAAGCATGGTTCACAGCCATCCTCTGCACGCTGTGAAGAGCACGGTGCTAGTCTGTGTAAACCAGCTCGAGAAGCTTTTCCGCTGCCTATGCTGGTGTGGCCACCGTTGATGGGGAGAACTGGGATGGGTCCATCTCAGGTCTAGTCTTGTGCCTGTTATTCTCTCTCTGCTTTCTCCCATGGATCCCAGGGTGCTCTCTGTAATTGGGGAGGAGTCTGTTTCTTGATGTCAAGTTCTTTATCCTTAAGGATTTATTAAGATATTTACCAGAGGGATGGGATGGGGAGGGAGGTGGGAGGGGGGTTCAGGATGGGGAACACATGTAAATCCATGGCTGATTCATGTTAATATATGGCAAAAACCACTACAATATTGTAAAGTAATTAGCCTCCAACTAATAAAAGTAAATGGAAAAAAGAAGATATTAACCAAAAAAAAAAAAGATACTAACTCAAAACGGAAAATGTTGAGATTAGTATTTCTGACTGGTGTTTTCCTGATGGTTCATATTCAGAGATACTCCATAGAGTATCTACCTTTTGGCAGACTGTCCATGCTGCGTTCTTCCTGCACATCTGCAGTGTAGCATCTGCTTCAGGCCACTCGCTTCTCTCCCACTTAGCAGTCCCTGGGCCATTGCATTTACTTTTTCTTTATGATTTCTATCCAGTAAAGTAGTTGTATAGCTTGTAAATCAGACCTCATGGTATTCTTTTTTCTGGCTGGTCCATGAATTCAGCTTACTTGGAAATAAGTGGGTTTTTTAGCTTTCAGGTCAGTTTGGTGTAATATAAATAGACCTTGATTTTTTAACTTTGGAGATGTGTATTAATGGAATCTTCTGTATCTATAGGGTGTGGAATTCTTTGATGAAAAGCTGAATTCTTTATGTATGGCCTGGCTTGTGGACCATGGTAAGTAAATAAGTTAATGGGAGTCCTGTGTTTTTGCATATATTTCATTTTGTTTGTATATTTCCTTTTCAGAAAGGAACCCTAATCTGACCATATTTTGTTTTACCAGTGTAGGGTTGAAGACAGTCTTTCATTAAAGTCCAGTTAGCTTGTTCTGATCAAAAGTTTGACATTTCTATTTTCTACCAATTTTTCTATCTTAAACTTTTATTTTCTTCATTGAACAATCTCTTTGTTCTGTTTTCACTCTTGCCATTATATTATTTTTAAACTTTCTATTTCATACATATACTCATTCTTTCTTATTCAGAGGTCTTCTTTCCACCATCTTTTCCATCTTTGTGTCTTCAGCCACTGTAGACTGAGTTGGACAGGGATCGAATCAGAAGAAAGACTTGGGGGAAGAAACGGCTCGTGGACTGCTTTGAGGTGACATAGAGACGCAGGTGTGCAGTGTGCAGTAAGGGTATCGGGCGTGGAAGGAAGACATCACCTGTCACCTAGGATAGAGAGGGCCCCGATTTCTGGTTTGGGCGAGAGGCTCACTCTGTTATCTTTGCTTTTATAGCACAACTCATTTCAGCAGTCACAGAATCTTTTTCCTCTAGTGCCACATACTGTGTTACAAAATAAAAGCTGAAACTGCCACTTTTCAAAATACACAGTTGATGTTTTATATAAAACCACCTTGTATGTTCACTTGTTAGCAGTTGGCTTTTGGACAAGGCTTCAGGTCTGGATATCAGTGCTTGTCTGCTGGGCAGCGATGGGCTGGAGAGGGCCTCACTGAGTGTAAACTCCTGTCTAGCTGGCAGCTTCCACATGGTCTTAGACCTGTGCAGATGAGAGCTCTGAGGACGTACAATGTCCTGTGAGCGTTGGTGCCCTGTTTTGGTGATTATGATGGGTATCTTGCTTCAGTTCCACAGCACATATTATATATACTTTATTTGCAGACTGTATCTCTGAGGGTGCCTCTGGGACCCTCCTTTGGGAGGAGTGGGGATATCATGTCTGTTTCTGCAGGAAGGTGGTTTTAAGGGTCAAAACAAACAAACGAAAAGAAAAAACCCAACTTTCCTGAGTGATTTAAAAGAATACCTCCAGCGTGTAAAGCACAGGACTTGGCGTAGTGGGTGTTAAATAGCTGTGCTGAACTGAAGCTGAATCAGTGGACAGAAATGCTAAAGTCCTGGATGAAGCATCACACGTTGCAAGATGTCAGTCGTTGCCAAACTGACTTTTTTTGAAGAAAGTGAAAGTGAAGTCGCTCAGTCATGTCTGACTCTTTGCAACCCCGTGGACTGTAGCCTACTAGGCTCCTCTGTCCATGGAATTTTCCAGGCAAGACTACTGGAGTGGGTTGCCAGTTGGATCATATGGTTAAGAAAGTGAAGAGAGGTGCAAAAAATGTAAATTTCATAAAGATGTGTAAATGTAGATAATCTCATTGTTTTCAAACTAGATTGCAAAGACTCTTTTTCTTGTCCTCTAAAGTTATTTCTTTAAGGCTTCATGTTTTTCCTTCTTAAATGAAACTAAGGTTTGGTGAAATCATAGGAAAGATAGTTTTCTCTTTTTAGAAATAAAGTGTTCATATTATATCTGATAAATAGTAATGTTAGTGAGTCCCAGCAGATTGGTCCATACTCTCTTTGAAAGCTAGTATTCTACACTTAATTTTGAGAAACTTTCAAAATCGTGGTGTTCCACAAAGAATTGAATTCCTGACACCTTTTCTATATAGAATTCACCTGTCAATGCAGGTTAATTAATACTTTCTTTTTTCTCTGATCTTTTATCATCCAGTTTAAGAGCAGAAGAGACCCTTGTGTCGTCTTTTTCAGCAGCATACTTAAGTGGCCTTTGCAAGCATTCTTTGAACCAATGAAATGTCAGCTCTGAAATTGTTCGAGGTTTTGTTTTTGCATTTTAGATAACTGCCATGTAGTGATCAGTGATCTTTTAAAATTTTTAGAAACTTTTTTGCTTATTAAAGTACTAAGGATATTGTGAAGAAGTACAGAGAACTAGAAGCAGTATCACTTACCCTCTTTTCCATGGTTGAGTGGATAGTGTTGATCAGAGAGAGGAATTTAAAGGGGAATTTATTTTTTATAGGAGGAAGGAAAAAGTACCAAAGTTAGTAAGGATATAGAGTGTGTTAGAAATTCAGAGGAACATTGCACATCAGCCAGACCTTGAGGGGAGAGGGAAGAAGAGGGAGGGAGAGAGACAAAACAAGCAGAGAGGAGAGGCAGAACCATGGAGTGGTTTGTTTGCATTCTTTTCACAGCAAAATTGAGAGGAGCCAAGAACATAGTAGGCGTCTGGCCAAGTGGAGTTGAGTGCAGTTAAGGTCTGGGTCAAGGCCGAGCTCTCATCTCTGGTTTCTCTGGCAATGAGGTCCCTTCTCTATGGCAATGGCATTAGGATGAGAAGAATCTCAAGCAAATAAAAAAGCAATGAGGGGAGGAGACACAGATGGGAAGAAGTTGGTGGGGGACGGTGTGCTCAAAACAAAGACTGCTGGTGAAGGGAGGGAGTTTTTGTTATGAGTGAAACACTTGACTTGAACGTGTTCCTTCAAGAGTGCCGCTGAATATCCCTGGCAGGCTGCTTCTCCCACACGCTTTGGTCAGGTTGCATGTTGGTAATAATCTAGCTCCTTGGCTAAGGTGTCTGGCCTGTGCTGACCAGCGGCGTCGCCTGAGAGGCTCTGTGGCCTGGGAAGAACTGGCCCCTTCCTGTCTGGGAGCCATGTGTCAGTCGTCTGGGATCAGAGCTGTTGCCTGGGTGCCTGTTGCTCCACAGCTGTCACCCGGGAGGGTTGGGCGCGAGGGAGGCATAGAGTAAGGAATCGGTACTGATCACTCTCACTTGTTATCAAAGCCCAAATTTTGAGTGTATTGGACATGTAAGATGAAGCGTTGCCACGCCTGTCTTCGTTGGGTGTTGTATATAGTAACTAGTTGTTGAGAAGATTGTGGCTCAGGCCTTTATTATCTAGATTTATGACATCTTTGCTAAATGACCTTGTAGGGAATTACGAGATTAAAGGAGGCACGTATATTCATAGAAGACATTTGCCATGTTGCCTCAACAGAAACATTTTTAAGGGGAAAAAAGGCAAGTCAGTCTGAAGTTTTTATATGCTGTTGTGTAGACAACGACAGTGGCCTCTGAATAACCTCCTCTCTGTCGTTCTCTCAGCTGTTCTTGCTGCTGCTGGAATGATCTTGCCAAAATACCACATTGGTCATAGGGCCACATCTTTGCTTTAAAAACCCATCATTGGTTTCCTTACAGTCTAAATTTAGCTTTCATGAAGCTCGGTCTGGCTCCACCCTAACTGTTCAACCTTAGTGTCTCACAGATTTCAGTTTTTTCCTTTGTGCCCTGGGTAAATTTTTTGTCCTTTCTAGGAATTCCTCCCCTATTCTTTCCACTTACACAAATCCTCTATAATTTTTAAGGCCCAGTGCAAGGCCACTGTTTCACACAGACCTCTCTGTTCTCTCTCCTCTAAACTCCTACAGCCCTCAGGGTCTTTACTAGTTCATGCTTTATTATGAGTCTTAGACCCCATGATTTCTTAAAATGCATTATTTTTCATTTTTCTGCTTGAGTATGTGGTCTTTGGGGGCAAGTAACTTATGCATTCTTTCTGTGACACATAGCACATAGTTGGCACTCATATTTGCTAATTAACGATGCCTATAATGAGCTCCTTCCTTCCCTTTTCCTTGGACATTTTGAAACTATCATCAGACCACATCGGCATATTAGAAGTCATAGCTGAGCATGCTTGCTGTTGCAGTCTGACCAAATTTGGAGTGTTCACAGAGTTTTATTTTTGGCCCACCTTTGACGATGGCGTAAGTAAAAGTCAACTAGGTTATGCTCGTGATGTGAGCAGCACGACAGTATCTTCTTTACCTCTTCTGCAGTGTACGCCATCCGGGAAGCTGCCACCAGTAACCTCATGAAGCTAGTTCAGAAGTTCGGTACAGAGTGGGCCCAAAATACCATCGTTCCCAAAGTGTTAGTAATGGCGAATGATCCTAATTACTTGCATAGAATGACCACTTTATTCTGCATTAATGTAAGTATTTCATAGCTGTTTTGTTGAGCTCTGGTGTTAAACCAGTTATTCAGGAGTGTATTTCTGAATCCTGACTAGGTTGTCTTCTGTTTGGATTATATTTCTTTTTTTTTTTTTTTCATTTATTTGATTATATTTCTTAATATTGATTAAGTTGGATATTTAGGAGATGAGAGAAAACTGTCATTTTTTCCGTTTGTGTCAAACTCTAAAGTCAGTTTGAATTCTGGTCTAATTCTGCGATTCTGTTCTACCTTGTATCTTTCATCACATGCTCACACTAGAAACATTTTCCTGGTGGCCAGTTACTTTCTTGTCTCTTTAGATTTGGGGATACTTTTTTTTTTTTTTTAAAAAGTGTTTTTTAATGTGCTGTCTTATTTCTTTTTCAAGGCACTGTCTGAAGCCTGTGGTCAGGAAATAACCACTAAGCAGATGCTGCCTATTGTATTGAAAATGGCAGGAGATCAAGTAGCAAATGTCCGTTTCAATGTGGCCAAATCTCTACAGAAAATTGGACCAATTCTGGATACCGAGTAAGATTTTTAATATTCTTTTTTAAAAAGTAGATTTAAATTTTCACCGCATGTAGGCAGAAATAGCTATAATTAAATTCGGTGATTTTCATGTCACCCAATATGTGGGTTAGGTTAAAGAAAATAATAGTAATTCAACAACCAATTTTGAGGGTGTCTACTCTTTTATATGTAAGCTCTGTACATGTGCAGATTGTTGTCCAAAGCTAATTCTGCAGAGACTTAGAGAAATTATTTAGTACTTGTCAAGTTAATATTATAGGTGTTTTAAAATATTTTTAAAATTTTAAACTGTAAAAATTACCATAGAGTATAATATATATTACATACCATAAAGCATTTCTCTGGCTCAGAAGACTGCCCTTCACAAATGATACTGTTGGATTTTAGTGCTTTGCAGGTGGAAGTTAAGCCGGTACTACAGAAGCTAGGCCAAGATGAAGATATGGATGTCAAGTATTTTGCACAGGAAGCCATAAGTGGTATGTCTGTTTCTGCCTTCCAGCTTTGGCTTGGGCTCACAGGATGTGAGTGGTATTAAGTGGGCCAGGTGATGAGCACCTGGCCACGGGAGAGGGTGAGGTCCTGGAACACTGTCTCCTCTTTGAGTAGAACCTTCTTGGCCCACCACCAGGCAGGCCATTTTCTCAATTCCATATCTGAGGGCTGGGTAGGGATATGATTCTTACTGGTAAGGATAGTGTGTTGTTTGGATTTTAATCAGTTTTTAAAGTTTTAACTTTAGATTAGTCTGACGGTAAAGAAACTGACCACTGTGAGAAGCTGTCAGTCTCAGGCTTTGATCCATTGTTGCTGTGCTGAATATTCGCATACATGGTTCATATACTTTCTCTACCACTAACTTGATTTTGTTTGGAATTTTCTAGTGCTTGCACTGGCATAACGAGGAACGAGGGGGAAGACTTTACTAAGTTCTTATCACAGATTTCTAGTCAATGTGTTCTTGAACTGGGTGGAGAGAAAAATGGAAAACCTTCAAGACCTCATCCGAGCAAATGGCAGCACCTTACAAGAAATCAAATTTCAGTGACTTGATTCTTTCTAAAGATGAGATGGCATTGTTTTTCACTTGTCTTCCTTGTTGGGATAATTTAAACTGTTCTTATTGTTTGTGACTAAACTGTTCTTATTGTTTGTGACCAATTTCTGATACTCTGCACAGTCATTTCTTGACTGTCTCCTAATGATTTATTTAGTACCGTCTGGGCTCCTGTATCGTCGTCGTTTAATCAGGTCCCAGCCTCTTTAATATTCCACCAAGCCTGGACAGGTTTTGGACCCAGACGTGGAACAGAGTGATATTTTTGATGTTTACATGTATCTGTGTGTCTCCATTCCAGAGTTAAATGTACATGGCTTAGAATAACTTATTTTATGAGCACTCCACGTGGGAGACAGACTGAGATTTAACTGTAGTGAAAACCATATTCTCCTGGATGATGATGGTCCGTGTCAGTGTCTCCTGCGGAAGGGGAATGTGCACACTCAGGGTTCATGTGTTGGTTGTTTTGGTTTTTATTTGCTCGATTTTGGCTGTAATCATGTCATTCAGAAACCTGAAGTGCAGATGCATCTTGCTCCTGATGTGTTGTGTTAAAACCTAACTCCATTTCTGCAGCTCCCCACTGTGACTGTGTTCAAAAATACTCCTCTTTCTCCCTGCTGAGATGCTTAAAATTTAGTGCCTCTTAATAAGCAGTGGTTCTACTGTTTGATTGTAGATTGCAGTTGCATTTCTAATGAGTAAAGGAACCAGTGGTACAACATTGAGGATTTCCTGCTCCTTACCTGGTTCTGCTTTCAGCTGTGTGGACATTTGGTTCTTGCTATATTATACAGTAATAGCTTTCCAAACTGAAGGTTCATTTTTTTGGTAAGGGTGATGCTGGAATCTTATCATTTGAAATGTTATCCTACTTTTATAGTAAAACCTCATTAATTCCTCCTGGAATTGATAATGACTTAAAGCTGAAGGGTTTGCTGAAGCAAATTAATTGTATGTAAGGAAGCCTGATTGGTCTGAACTACTTAAACGCTCTTTAAAAAGCACCCTTTTCGCACTTGATATGCCTAGTTTCTTATCACTCTCATCAGTTATATTAAAATACCTCACGACTGAAGCGACTTAGCAGCAGCAGCAGCCTTCTGTCTGGTTTCCTGTCTTTATTCTTACTGGGTTTCCACATTACTGTCAGGTTTAATTTCTAAAAGCACTGTGCTGATCCTCCCCAGCCCCCTGCTCATAAACTCTCGGTGACTCCCCATTATCTAACCCCCCCTGACCTCAACCTCGGAGTCCTGAGCCCAGAATCTGAAGTTAGGGGACCTGTACTTAACTAGGCTCTGCTGTAAACTTACTGAGTGACCTTGGGTATGCCACGACAAAATTTGCAAATAGGGCTTTGGATTTGATAACTGCTAAGGTTTCTTCAAGCTCCATCAGGTCACTGTTCTTTTTAACATTAATCCTTACTCACCTCCTGTGTTATCGCTGGGCTGTTCTGTGATTTCCTGCCTTATGCCTTTGTTGGAGCTCTCATCTTCTAGTCTGGAATTCCTGCTCCTCAGTTCCTTTTCTCTGTACCTTCACATAAGTCCTATCCTTTGTTTTGAAATAATGTTACCTGGCTTTGAACTCTTGGTATCAGCCTGTGTCACCTACTTTGTGTTAATATAACTATTCTAGTTTTAAAAAATCTTCTATTAGTAAAAAAAAATAAATAAAATACCTTCTGTGAGGATCTTTACCCGGCCACACCTTTATTTAGATACATTAAATTTGCTCTTTATACGTGATAGATATACACACATATTTAATGGAGGATTTAAATATTTTTTCTTTTAAATTTATGAAGATTTTTCACGTATGTCTTGCCCTAATGACTTTTTAATTAATGAGGTTTTATTATAGCTTATTTTTCTCTCAGTGCATCTTGCTGAGTCTGAGTCTTGCTGTAGTCTGCTTGTTTCCATTTTGGTTTTCAAATAGTTTCTTTCATTTATAGTCTCTTAAAGCCAATGAGCCCTGTTCTGTTTTGTGAAGGCACGAAGACTTCTAGGAAGCTTTGTACATTAAACCATTTCAGAAAACCAAGTTTGACCAAATACTTTAAAGTTTGTCTTACCTTAGAAAAGCAGAACATTTAAAGTCAAAATTATCTGAGTGCATTTAAAACTGCCAAACTAGTTTATAGTTATTTTCTATTTTTTTACTTCAGGGCGAAGGACTAAATATTTTCTTAGGCAAAAATCTTTTCTTTCCCTGAAGAAATCATTAATTATTATGCTGTAAACAATTTTTGTTTCATGGTTCTTTTTGTTTTTTTATTACCTTGCAGTTATGCTCATCATTGAATTTCATATTTGAGAGACTTTTGCCTTAATTGAAATGAATTTACACAACCATTGCTGTCCTCTGGTTTGGGGACAGATTCTTTACTGGTTTTGTGAACCTCCTGGGGAGCACTGTGCATTGACTTCCACCCTCAGATGTGGTGAAGGGGAGACTGTGAACCCTTTCTCTCTCAGGCTTGGGTCAGGGAGCTCAGCAGGGCCCTGTGGTTTTGGGTCACCCTATAGGGACTTCATTGTTTCTTCTGACTTCAACAATAAGGATCCATTTTGTTACTCTTCAGAGGAACTGTTCTTTGGCTCATAACTTTTCTCCATGTATTAGTTTTCTTGCCTTAATTTCACAGGAATGTAAGCTCCAGGAGCTCTGTAAGGGCTGGGGTTTTTGTTTTGTCTTCTGCTGTATCTGTACCACCAGCATTTGGGTTAGTGTCTGGTGTACATAGTAGGCGCTCAATAAAAATGTGTTCAATGCATTTCTAAAACCTGTCTTCTAGTGCGTTGTGTGTGTGGAACAAGTCATCCAAGGTAACAGACTATTCTCATTCTCTTGTTGACACAATAAAAGAATTTCACTACTTTTATGTGGCCCTGCTCCAGTCCCCATCTTAGGCAGCAGTTGTATTTGGATTGTACAGTGCCTGGAATAAGCGCCGCCGTAGATACCCATCCTGGGCAGTTTATAGCAGTTGTTTGATTGATTAGGAAAATGAAGCAGAGACATGTATACAGTGTTATGCCAATAAAAGTCTTATCAGGAGTGGAATTCACCTTAGTGTTGCGGGGTTTAACTTTTACAGGTTTAAGAGACAAGATCTTGTTTCTCTGTCTATGGTGTCATGAAGATACGAACCTGACGTACATTTGGTTTCATAAACATAAACAGGTTACTGTGTGGTTTCCAGCGTGACAGTTTCCAGTCATGTTGGAGCCCTTAGGTCACAGAAACACCGCAGCTTCGCCACTGTGATTCTAGGCCCTGGGGGGTCTTTGCTGGACCGCTCGTCCTGACTGAAAAGAGACAGCAGCCTGACCTTTGAGCAGTCTTCTCCAAGCGTCCACGATACTGCATGGACCTCCAGGAGAATCAGACATGGCATTCCTGACCCAGTGGTTGGACTGTGGTAATGCTGGCTTGTTGGCAGTGTTATTAATTGCTGTGTTGTCATGGAGTTAAAAATCTGGTTCTTCCCTGAGGACATCACACTGGTCCTGTTGCCCCGGGGATGGCAGGGCAGAGTGGCCCGGCAAGTTGGGTGCTTGTCTCTCGCCTTTCACTTAAATTCCTCTGATGCTTGTTTTTCCTCCCTGGCCTTCTTGTCTTAAAGCCTCCTTTCTAAGCACTGCCTAGATACAGACCGGAGGGAGAAGGAGCTGTCACCTTGTTCTTTCTAGTTTAACAATGAAGAGATTGTGGTCTGATGTTATGTAATTGCTTCTCTTGTATTCTCTCATACTCCTGTTTTCCATCCAGCTCCATGCTCTTTCCTGTTCACTCACATGTCTCTAGTCCTTTTTTGTACCTAGAATAGTCCCGCTATTCCCTGTTTGCCTCCACGAGCCTGCTTTTTCCAGGAAATTACATAATGTTCAGTTGAGATGGAAATCTTTCTGGAGGATGAAGAGATTTTAATTACTCATTGGGTAGAAAAGCCAAGTCATTTCTTTCTTCAGAGTTGTCTTAAATTGATGTCATCAGTTTTGCAAGGAGCCAAGTCTCTCCTGTCTGGCTGGGGTTCTGTAGACTGTCAGTGACCCAGAGGTGGGGGAGCACCCGGCTGGCACCCTAGGCCCGGTGGGGTGGCACTTCCCACGGCCCTTGAGGAAAAGGCACCTTCAGTCGGGTGCAGGGGTGGACCAGCTCTGTGCCCGGAGGCCTGTGTGCCTCCGCATTGCAGGGCTGGCGTGCCTGAGTGCCCTGGCGAGGAGGCGCAAGGGAGCCGCCTGGGATGCGGCCTGGCGGGGTCCATTACCGTCTGCTGTCTGTGTCTCTAGCGGTGGCCCAAAGGCTGAGGAAGCTAGATTTTCCTGTAAAGGACAGTGAAGAGCCCAGTGCCCCCGGGGCTGACAAGACCCACCTCCCGAGACCCAGAGGGCCTGGAGAAGACACGGGGAAGGTAAGTGCCCTCACACCGCTGGCCTGGGTCCTGCGTCGCCTGGACTGAGGTGTGGGTGGAGGGCCTGGGGCAGCTGCCAGAGGCAATGAAGCCAGAGCTTTGAGCTCTCTCCCTGAGAGGACGGCGGAGTTCTGGGGACCAGGGGAGTCTGTCTTTATATATATTATATATGTTTCTTGTCCTTCATTCTGGGAATGCCTTCTGAGGGGAGGGGTGGGCTTGTCAGCACCCTGCCACCACGCCCCCCCCTCCCCGCCCCCCGCCCCATGCAGAGGAGAGAGGTGGTTTGGTAAAGAGTTGTTTATTGAAACAGGCTGTTTCTACATACCTCCCAGAAGAGACTGTTCTTTACAATTCATCTTAGGTAGTCACTTCCATTCAAGGAAAAATCCATTTCTGTCCCTTTTACTGGGTAATAGTCCGAATGTTTTACTAGCCACCCCCCCACGCCACCCCACCCTCGCCTTGACACCACTCTGAAGGAGGTGTGCCAAGTTCAAGTTCAGCGAAGTTGGTGCCAGCCAGTGCCCTGGGGCTGTTTGTTCGGAGGGTGACGCATGACGACGTACAGACTGCTTCGGGAAAGCAGCACAGAGAGTCTGGCCGCCGTGTGCTGATGTCAGGCTGCGTTTAGTTTATTTGGAAGATAATGGTATTTTTGTACCACTCCAGCGCGTTTTGCTGGGTGACAGTTCTAACATCTAAACGTTTGTCTTACAAGTCTTTATGCCCTTTCCTTCATGTTTTGTGAACTGGGGCCATGAGAATCTCTTGCCCTGGTCCAGGCCCTGAGCTGCAGTCTCTCCTCTCAGAGCGTTCTCCCCTTCCTGCTCTGTGACCCCTCTCCAGGGCCAGCAGCTCAGCTCTCCCTGCAGTGGCTGCCCCCGCCCCGGAGGAAGGGCTGGGGCGACGGCGCCCTCAGTCTCAGCAGCCTTTGGTCCTTGCATCTGTTTAACTGAACTTGGCCTCAGGGAAGATACCACGTCTGAACAACAGTTTCACATTTTTAATTGTAAGCCACAGACTTCCTAGGGAAGAAGGAGTTATATTTTCCTACACATTCAGGGTGCACTGACTGTACCATTAAATACATGGTTTGCCTGTGATGTGCGTGCGGAATAGTTGAGGCGACCCCTCTGTGGCAGACTTGCCGGGTCTGGAGGCGGCCCCTGATGGCCGCAAGCTGGGGAAGCAACATTCACTGCCACGTCCTGAACCCCGACACTTGGTCACTGTGCAGACAGCTTCTGGTCAGGCTCCTGGCAAAATCCCCCCTTGTCCTCGCAGTGGCCCTGTGTGGTGGGTGCTGGGGGCTCTGTTTCCCAGGCGGTCGAGAACCTCCCCCCAGCCCTGCCCTGTCTCCCGGGGCATCTTTTCCAGCACCGGAGGCCCAACTGTGCTCGGCTTCTGAGACTACAAATCAGTCAGCCTGGTAAACCCCTGTCCCGACTCAGTGAGCCTTCCCTGAGTCTGTTTCACTTGAGGAAAGGACTTGGGGTGAGATGGAAAGGGAATTGGCTGTTGCCAGGCAGAGTGTGTGTGTGTCAGGGGCCAGCAGCCAAGTGAGTGATCCAGGAAGTCATCCAGTTGCAAACCAGAAATTGTTCTTAACCCCTCCCTCACTGTCAGCGGCGCGTAGCAGATTGGCCCCTCTGCCCTAGCGGGGTCAGGGTGAAGCCCGGCCACTGAGAACCCTGGGAGCGGCCGCCAGTGTCTACTGGCTTCTGGGCCCTGCGGGAACCGTTCGGCAGCCCGGGGCTCGGCCTGCCTCTTGACCCGAGACAGGATGGCCCCTCGGGACGTGAGCCAGTTCCTGCGCTGACCGGTGCCTGCTCGGGGCCTCCCAGGCTGGCCCCCGGGGGCTGCTCTCTGCTGACAGAGCTGCCGACGGGCCTCTGTCAGGCGGGGGTTAACAGAGGATTTGTTTATTGAATCGCGAAGTAGCTGTCACATGATTTTAATCAAAACACCATTTCCCTGACAACAGTGATGTCAGTCTTGTTATTGCAGGAAGGAGCAGCTGTGAGGGACGGTCAGGCTCCATGCCGAGCCCAGGTTCAGAGACTCAGATCAAATGAAGCATCATAGGAGAGGTCGCAGGCACGGCTCCCCTGAACCTGCTGCCGTCCTCTCTGACTCAACAGCCTGTGCCATGCAGACGCTGGCCAGAGCCCAGCCACCCCGTCTGCACTGACATGCCTCTCTGCACCCGTTCTTCCTTCTACCCTTGTTTTTCCTTCTGGTTATTCCAGTTCTCCTTATTTCCCCCAAGCTCAGCGTGTCATTCATTTGGGCCACTAGGATCTCTGACCTCAGCCTTCTGGCACCTGTCTCCTCTCTGTGTTTGAAACCAACAGTTCTCGCCAGGCTAAGGTGGGGCCCTCCTGCCGCTTGGGAATCTTGGCTCCTTTTGGAGCCTGCTTCCTGGAGGACAGGGGCAGCTTGTTCTGTCCTTTTCTCTCCCAAGAGCAGGTTGGGGGGCCTGGGTGCTGCCTGAGGGTCTCCAGGGCAGTTCTGAGGAGCTCGGCTGTGGGTGTCTAAAGGGGAGGAGCTCCTCAAGAAAGAGTCAACCTTAGGGTAGGAGGTTAGTTCTCTTGAGCCCAGAATGACGACAGGAGGCCTGCATCCAATCTGGAGATCAGGGTCCAAGGGAGGGGGGCAGCGGAGCACTGCCACGGTCAGTGGAGCAGTGTCCTCAGGCCCTGCCGCCTCTCCACACCTTCTCTGGGGGGGTGGGGACCAAGCAGCGGTCTCTGCAGAGAAATACTCTGGGCCCTCCAGCCCTTCTGTATCCAGGAGCTCGGTATTTTTTTTTTTCTCATTTATTTTTATTAGTTGGAGGCTAATTTACAGTATTGTAGTGGGTTTTTTCATACATTGACATGAATCAGCCATGGAGTTACATGTATTCCCTATCCCAATCCCCCTTCCCACCTCCCTCTCCACCCGATTCCTCTGGGTCTTCCCAGTGCACCAGGCCTGAGCACTTGTCTCATGCACCCAACCTGGGCTGGTGATCTGTTTCACTATAGATAATATACATGTTTCGATGCTATAGGAGCTCAGTATTAAAAATTGGAGACGGATGAGAAAAGCCTTCTAGGTGGGACATGGATTCTCACAGCTGTTCTTTTATCTGTGGTACCCATGCCTAGAATTCATCACTGAAAGAAGAAATCCTAGGCAAAGTTCTTGGTTCTTTGTAGTTTTTTCTTTTTATTTGTTATTTTTGGCTGTGCTGCGTCTTCATTGCTGCATGAGCTTTCCTCCAGTTGAGACGAGTGGAGGCTACTTTTTGTTGCAGTGCGCAGGCCTGCAACTGCCCTGGCTGCTCTTGTGAAGCACGGCTTCTGGGGCCTGCGGGCTCA